GAATCTTGGTGGAATAAATGGAACATATTTATATTTCAAGTAGATTAGATTTTTTCCAATTCATTTCCTGTTAGGCAGAATGGTTTCAGAGTCTGACAGACATGAATTTGAAGCCAGGCTCTGCAATCACTATATGATGCTGAGTAAGTTACCAAATGTCTCTGTGCTTTAATTTCCTTATAGGCAAAATGGGAAAGCATTTCTGACCTAAGAGACTTACATAAAGTCTCATAATTACTTAGATTTGCCCAGAAAAATTAGTTTCTTCCTCCTCTTACTCCCACAACTGACATAGTAGTAATTTCTCCCCCTCATATAACGAGACAGTCATGAAAGATTCTGTGTCTACTTGCTCACAGTAGATTGACATTTACCTTAAGCAGATTCTAGATTTAGCTGTACAGGTAGACACATTTTTGAATTAAAAATCGTTTTTTAATTCTATGATTGCCTAAAAGAATATGATCAATTAGCACGGCTGAAACTACTTTTTGACTTGAAGGTCTTAAATTTCAAAGGTACCTGCTTATATTTAGGAATAGTCAGTTATTTCCTCCATGAGAAATAAAACAGATTTCAGTTATTATGTTATGCCAAAACAGTGAAAATCATGACTCCCATTAGATTAGAGGGTTTCTCACAAGCTAATTAAAAAAATGCTTTTCTAGCTGGAAAAAATAAAACATAGACAGGACTGGCATGCTAGCATATGTTTAGAACTCTTAATTCCATATACACAAATCCCACAATAGGCTTTGTAAGCCATGCTTAAATAATTTTATCATTAAATCTCTAAATGCTTAAAGTTATTTAGAAATATTAAATGTTAATCACTAAAAATGAGTCAACTAAATAACAGAATGAGTAAACCAGATCTTCATCAATAGGGATAAATCTTAAATACAGTATTTGGTGAAGGCAAGCAGTAAAAGAATATCTATAGTACAATAGGCTTCCAAAATGTAAATAATTGTATGACATTTGCTTTACATGTCCGTCATGAGGTATTAGTATGTACATAGGAAGATTGTATCATCTTCATGCTCATGATGATAGCTTAGGAAGAAAGGTGGAAAGTTAAAGGAAGCAGTACCAATTTGTTTTCTTTCTGTGATGATTTAATTCTTCAGAAAATATTTTTAATATAGCTACATGTTATCATTTGTTTAGTTTATACAGTTGATACTTAGGTATTAACTATTTTTTGCTTTGAAAATTTTATAAACTTTCATCTTTCAAAATCAAACAACAAAAGCCATAAAATGAACATTATTCTAGTCAATTTAAGATTTAAAAAGAAGAAAAGAAAAACAAAAACAAAATAAATGCCTGTGTGTATCAGTATCACTGCAGAAACATTTGTCAAACTTTGTTTTACAGTTTTTTTTCAAACCAATGGAGAACAATGTTATATTCCTACAATTATAATGTCTGATTATTTTAAAATTTACTGCATATAGGTAAAAAGGTCAACTTTCCTTTTGATTATTGCTTATAGCTCTTGCTGATGCTACCATTGAACTAGGGTCTTTTTACACTTTATCGTTAATCTCCTTATTTAGTGGAGCATTAAGCCATTGACTTTTATTTAATAAAAATATGTTATCTCAAAAACTAAAAAAAAGATTATATATATTCAGTACTTTAAATAAAACAAAAACAAATTAAAAGGCATTCCATAGAGTTTCCTTGAGTAAAAAAATCATTAATTTGTAATATTATTATAATTTTTATTCTGCATATATCATTGGAATTTTGAGTTCAAAAGAAGATATAAAATAAAGGAACTATTTGGTTCTGTTTTTTAAATAAAGTATTTATTTATTTATGCATTAAACAATTGTACTTGGATATGTAACAAAGGCAAACATAAAAGTTTGTTATGCACTTATTGCACTTCTAATACAGGATCTCTGATTTTCTTCTATAAATATAGAATCTATTCAAAATGAACAAGAATTGGATTGTTAGGAATTTCTATGACAACACAAAACCTCTCTCAAATAGCTGGGGCTGGCATTCTCTCCAGTGCCTACTACTTCCACACCTGTGAGTACAACCTCAAGTGAATTCCTCTTCCACTTATTAGCCCCCTAAGTCTGCCTCATGGCCCTCATTTATAAAATGGGGGTGAATCCCGGTATCTACTTTACATAACTGATAAATTTAGTAAAGTAAGCTAAGACCATGCCTAACATGCTGTAGGTACAGCAGTAACATTATTGGCATCAAGAACTATAGAAGAGACAGGCTTAGTTCAATCCTCCTTTCAGAGAAATATCTTTTCATTCTGTTGCTTTGAACTGGTACAGAAACAGATGGATAGACCAATGGAACAGAATTGAAACACCAGAAATCAACCCAAACATCTACAGCCAACTTATATTTGATCAAGGATCTAAAACTAATTCCTGGAGCAAGGACAGTCTATTCAATAAATGGTGCTGGGAAAATTGGATTTCCACGTGCAGAATCATGAAGCAAGACCCCTACCTTACACCTTACACAAAAATCCACTCAACATGGATTAAAGACCTAAATCTACGACCTGACACCATCAAGTTACTAGAGAACATTGGAGAAACTCTTCAAGATATTGGCACAGGCAAAGAATTTCTGGAAAAGACCCGGGAGGCACAGGCAGTCAAAGCCAAAATCAACTATTGGGATTGCATCAAATTGAGAAGTTTCTGTACTGCAAAAGAAACAGTCAGGAGAGTGAAAAGACAACCGACAGAATGGGAAAAAATATTTGCAAACTATGCAACAGACAAAGGGTTAATAACCAGAATCTACAAAGAGATCAAGAAACTCCACAAAAACAAAACCAACAACCCAATTAAGAGATGGGCCAAGGACCTCAATAGACATTTTTCAAAGGAGGAAATCCAAATGGCCAACAGGCACATGAAAAAATGTTCAAGGTCATTAGCAATCAGGGAAATGCAAATCAAAACCACAATGAGGTTTCACCTCACCCCGGTTAGAATGGCTCACATTCAGAAATCTACCAACAACAGATGCTGGCAAGGATGTGGGGAAAAAGGGACACTAACCCACTGTTGGTGGGAATGCAAACTGGTCAAGCCACTATGGAAGTCAGTCTGGAGATTCCTCAGAAACCTGAAGATAACCCTACCGTTCGACCCAGCCATCCCACTCCTTGGAATTTACCCAAAGGAATTTAAATTGGCAAACAAAAAAGAGGTCTGCACCCTAATGTTTATTACAGCTCAATTCACAATAGCTAAGACCTGGAACCAACCTAAATGCCCATCAACGATAGACTGGATAAAGAAATTATGGGATATGTACTCTTTAGAATACTATACCGCAGTAAGAAACAACGAAATCCAGTCATTTGCAACAAAATGGAGGAATCTGGAACACATCATGCTGAGTGAAATAAGCCAGTCCCAAAGGGACAAATACCATA